TAAGTAGGCTGGTGTTGAACTCACAGAGATCTGCCTCTGTGTCCCGAGTGCTGGGATTAAGCGTGTATACCACCACTGCCTGGCATGAAAAAGTAAATTCTTTAATAAAATAAAATAAAAATTTCAAGTAACACTCAATTTGGAAAAGTTGAAGACTTTAAGAATGAAAACTCAGGCATTGGGGTCCAGGTTTGGATTCCTAGCACTTGGGAGTTAGCAGCAAGAGGATCATGAGTTCAGGACCACCCTGGACTACCAAATAGATAGATAAGAAAGTAAGTAAACAAGCCTGGCTATGGTGGCACACGCCTTTAATCCCAGCACTAGGGAGGCAGAGGCAGGAGGATCTCTGTGAGTTCGAGACCAGCCTGGTCTACAAGAGCTAGTTCCGGTACAGGCTCCAAAGCTACAGAGAAACCCTGTCATTAAAAACAAAACAAAACAAAACAAAAAAAAGACAAAACTAAACAAAACAAAAAAGGGGCTGTAGGCAAAAGTGTAGGGCATTTTCTTAATTAGTGGTTAATTTAGGAGAGCCCAGCCCATTGTGGGTGGTCCTTCTCTGAGCAGGAGTTCTGTAAGAAAGCAGGTTGGGCAAGCTGGGAGGAGCAAACCAGTTAACAGCACTCCTCTGGGGCCTCTGCCTCAGCTCCCGCCTGAGGCTCTTGCCCCTTGTGAGGTCCGTCCTGGCTTCCTTTAATGATGGACTGCAGTGCAGAAGTGTAAGCCAAGAAACTTTTCCTCCCCAACTTGCTTTTCGCGGTGTTTTGTCGCAGCAGTAGAAACCCTGACTTTGAGAGACCCTGTAAAGTGTAGGTTTGAGGACAGTGCTAGGGGGTTGCTTGTCACGTGAGAGGCTAAGGAAGAAAAAAGGTAAGTAACAACATGGGCCTATTGAGGTTTGGCGCTATGGACTGAATTCCAGGCCTTTTGCACGCTAAGTACATGCTCTCCCACCTAACTGCACCCCCAGCCCCAGGCTGATATCTCACCCCTCCTTTGTGTTTGGACTAAGGCATTTTCAGTTTGTACCCCGGACCAGCAACAGTTAGACACTCTCACGCATATATAGTTATACACGTGTCCAGTTGTTGCCTGGAAGTGGACTCTCAGTGGGTACTGCAGTTTTCCCTTTAACATTGCACAGTGAAAAAAAAGTTACGTCAGGCTTAAGGAGGTATAATTTATATGCAGTAAAATCACTCTCTTTTGAGTACGCGTCCATGAGTTTTGACAAATCCATTGGGCAACTACCCCATAATCAAGATACAGAACAGGCTCGTCACCACCGCCCCCGCAATAAGTCCCCTGTGCCCTTTGTGGCTAACTCCTCTTCCCACACGCATCCCTTGGTAACGACTGTTTCTGACCCGGTAATTTTGGCTTTCTCAGTACATCTTATGGATCAAATTATACATCCTTTGGATGTGGCTTCTTAAACTTAGTGTTCATTCGTGTTGCTGGGCACCGGGAATTTGCTCTACTTTATCACTGATTGACTGACTATCAGGTTTGCCATCCCCACCCGCTGTGTATGAGAGCTTTTTTTTTTTTGGTTTTTCGAGACAGGGTTTCTCTGTGGTTTTGGAGCCTGTCCTGGAACTAGCTCTTGTAGACCAGGCTGGTCTGGAACTCAGAGATCCGCCTGCCTCTGCCTCCCGGGTGCTGGGATTAAAGGCGTGCGCCACCACCGCCCGGCTTATATGAGAGCTTTTAAGGCTCATTCTTGCTTCAGTGCGTGTGCTGTGTGCATGCTATGATGCAAGCATGCATGTGCACATGTGTGGAGGCCAGCAGCCACGCTTAAATGTCATACCTCAAGGCCTTGCTTTAAAAAAAGATTTAATACTTAAATCTTAAACGGATCTCAGAGAGATATGGATGTGGCTGTTAGCTGGCTTTCTCCCTTTTACTCAGTCAGGGATCCCAGTACATACGATGATACCACTCAAGCCGGAGCGGTGGGGGCACACTTTAATCCCAGCATGCTGGAGGCAGAGGCAGGTGGATCTCTGTGAGTTTGAGGTCAGCCTGGTCTACGGAAAAGAAAAAAGGGAAAAAAAAGACACTATACAGTCTACCAAGGCAACTTATAGAAGAAAGCATCTAACTGGGGCTTGCTTACAGTCTCAGAGGGTGAGTCTAAGAGCATCAGGGCAGAGTGTTGGCATCGGGAGGACGGGCAGGCACAGGTCTGGAGCAGCTGAGAGTTTACATTCCTGATCTGAAGGTCAGTAAGAAAATCAGTGGCTGAAGATGAGCTTAGGTTTTGAACGGTAAAGACTAAAGACGTGTGGACTTCAACTTTCTATTTTAACGTTTGTTTATTATTTATGTGTGTGCGCACGCATGCGCACGTGTGACTATGCATGTACCATAGCATGAATGTGGGAGTCAGAGAACAACTTTCGGGGTCAGTTCTTTCCTCCCACCGTGGGGTTTCCAGGGCGACTCAGGTTGATAGGCTTGGTGGCAGGTGTCTTTACCCGGAGGCATCTGCAGGCCCAGGAGTTTAATAATCTCCCAGGGCTCCTTCTTGCTGGCAGGTTGAAGGCATTGTCTGAAGCAGTCCACCCTTTCTTCTCCTCCACCTCTTCTTCTTCTTCTTGAGGCAGGGTCTATGCAGCCCCGGCTGGCCTGGAACTGTGCAGGCCAAGCTGACCTCAAGGTCACAGAGCTGCCTCTGCTTTCTCTTCTGTCTCTTGTTCAGCTCCCATATACCACTCATTCTGTTTCCCTTCCTGTTCCTTTAGTAGACAACTCTTTCCTCCCTCTCCCTCTCCTCCCTCAGTCACGTTTTTCTCTCCTTTAAGGCAAGTCCTCTTGGGCTCTTGGGCTGCTACCCTCCCCCATGCTCAGCTATCGGTGGGATCAGAATTCAGGATATAGTCCCAAAATGTGTTCTCTCTCTCTCTCTCTCTCTCTCTCTCTCTCTCTCTCTCTCTCTCTTTCGAGATATGGTTTCTCTCTATCTTCAGCAGCTTCAGCTGACTTGGAACTCCCTATGTAGCTAGACTATCCTTAAACTCATAAAGCCCTGCCTTCCCCTGCCTCCGGAGTGCTGGGATTAAAGGAGTGCACCACCAGGCTGACACTCTGCCCTTGCAGTGTATTTTGGTTGTTTTCATAGTTGGCTTCCTTTAGCATTGTTGGCATTGAAATCTAAGTAACTTCGGATGTCCTTAGAGGCGAGGTGACATTTTACCACTTATGCTATTTGTTACTAAAAGTCAGCCTATTTGTCTGTTCCTGTGCCTGGGTGGGGGTAGGAGCGGAGTGGTGAAGAGTCTGCTGGAGACCCAAAGGTCTCTCGGCCGGGAAACTGAAACTGGGAGATGTAAGCTAATTCACTCACTTGCCCACGTCATCCGGGTTTTAAAGAAATGTGGCAGAATATAGCCAGAACTAAGAACAGTTGAGAACTTTATGAAAAAAAAAAAAATAGCCAGGAGGTGGTGGTGCACGCCTTTAAATCCAGCACTTGGGAGGCAGAGGCAGGCAGATCTCTGTGAGTTCCAAGACAGCCAGGGCTACACAGAAACCCTATCTGGGATCCCCGTCCCCAAAAAGAGAAAAATAATCTTTTCAAGGGAGAAAGGATGTATTTTAGGTCACAGTTCTAGGCTCACTAGGCACAGGACATAATGGCAGGAACTGGAAGGAGCTGATCACATCATCCCAGGCAGGAAGGAGAGAAAAAGTAATCTTAAAAAAATAACTCTTAACCCACTCATTCCCCTCCTACCTCCCCTGAGACAGGGTTTCTTTTGTAGGCTTGACTGTGTACATCAGGCTGGCCACCAACTCACTGAGATCTGCTAGCCCAAATCCCTTCCCCCTCCCCCGCTAGAATTAAAGGCATTGCCACGGCCAGGCACCCACTCATATTTTACTTAGGTCTTTTAGTTTTTGCTTTGGGCCAGAGGCTGGCCTGGAACTCATGTATAGCAGGCAGACATTCCTCTCCCTTCAGAGGTCTGTGGTTAAAGACTGTACTATTATGCCGGATCTTGCAGAGACATTAACTAGAATTATTTAAAAATGTATTTGAGTGATTTGCCTGAATGTTTGTACACGCACATCTGTGCCTGGAGCCTGTGGAGGTCAAGAGGCTACTGAATTCCCTGGAACTGTCGTTATGGATAATTGTGCGCTATCATGAAGGTACGGAACCAGGGTTCTCTGCAAGAGGACACGTCTCTCCAGCCCCTCACTTTACAAGAACATTTTAAGTACAAGATTTCTGTAGGCAACTTACAAAGGGAAGTTGGAAAGGAGAGGTCTTGCTGTGGGTTTTCTGGGAATCGTGTTTTCTTTAGGCCCGTGTTGCTTTTCCTCTAATGTCCCAACTTTTTACCAGCGACAAATGACCTCGGTATCAACTCCTCCAGGTCAGTTTTATTTAAAGGTTTCTGAGTCAACGTGCTAAACTCAACTGATTTCAGAGTCGCTCCGCCTTTTAGAGTGGAAGTTAAAATACCTCCTTTATCACGCTCTGGTTGTACAGCACGCAGGGGCGGTTGGAGACGGGGAGGTGTCCCTAGCTCACACCGCAGCGACACAGCCGAGCTTGTGCTTTGGGACCACCACAAGCTCTGGAGTGCGGTGTGTTGAGCGACCCCCTTACAACCCGGGGGCGCCGGCGTCGCCTTTTCCCTTCCCTTAACCCTGAAGCCAGAAAACCCCCCAAACAAACAAAAACAAACCCAACAGACACCCAAACCGTCCCACCACCGAGGGAAAGCGCGCCAATCACACAAAGAAAAGGAGGGGGGCGACTGGGATTCAAAATCATTTCTCCGGGACGTACATCCTCCCGGGCCTATCGGAATTAACTGCGCGCTTGCTCAGGGCCAATAGACGCGGAGTTTCTGGTCCAGGGCCCCCCCAAAGACGGACGGGCAGTCCTCTAGCCCAATAGGACCGCGCGACACTGAAGCCTCGGCCAATGCCGTCGGGAGGTGGGCGGAGTGTAGGCCAGGGGGTTGGCGGTGCCGTGTCATGGAGGCTCAGTCTCGCAGCAGCCATTGAAGGGGAAGGAACTGCGGGCGCGCGCGTGTCTCTGTGTGTGAATGTGTGTGCGTGCCCGTGTGTGCGCGCGCGGGTGTGTGGACTAGAAGGTGGGGGCAGCCGAGTTCGTCCCAAGTCGTCGGACTCCATTTGCTATTCTTTTCTTTCTCCCCCACACCCCGGTGGTAGTGGGCGTCCGTCTTTGCGTCTCTTTTCATTCATCTCCAGACCTTTAGAGGTTTTTTAGGGTTGGGGGCAGTGGGGCGGGCGCGCGAGGGGAAAGGAGGAGGACATGGAGATGAAGAAGAAGATTAACCTGGAGTTGAAGAACAGAGCCCCGGAGGAGGTGAGATGACTCAGCCCCCACCTCCCCCTCCCGCCCTGTGTCGTGAGGGGTGGGCTTCGGGGGTCCGGGTGGCTGCGCGGGGCGGGCTGGGAAACGCGCCCCCACTCGGGGTGGGGGCTGGGTGTTTATTTTAAGTTTTAAATCACCAGGCTCTTGTGCTTAAAATGGCGAAGGGCTTAAGTTTCTAGGGGCATTTTCGTGAGCGCGCGGGGGCTCAGCCCCTCGGCGTCCCCGCAGTCGGGCGGCCCCGGCCTCGCGGGGGCGGGCGGCGTGGGCGCGACCCTCGGCCCTTCGTCACCTGCGAAGTTGGTGGAACTTTCCCGCGGTGCCGCCACTCGGCCGGCCGCGGCCCCGGGCGTGGGTCTCGGGCCGATCTGCACCCCGCTCTCCCTCCGGCGATGCCCACTCGCGGGCGGCGGGGTCCCGGGACCCGACGGCGCCGGCCGCGATCCTCGTGGCGCGCGGACCTCTACGCAAGCCCGTGGCTCGTGCGAGCCGCGCAGTGCTCCGTGCGGCCGTCGGGAGGGGGCCCCGAGTGGGACCCCCGGGTGGCGTCGCCGCCGAGCCCTCGGTCGTCGGATTCCCTTGCGCTTCCTTCCCGCCAGGTTCACGGGCCTGGAGCTTGGGCCGCGACGGGCGGGGACGGCGCCCGGGGCTCGCTGGTTCCCGGCCGCGTGAAGTCGAGGGACAAGGGATCCGCGCTACGGTGGTCCCATGACGCCCGAGCAAAGGCGCCGGTCTGCCCGGCTTTCGCGGTTATCTGGCCGAGCCTCCCGTGCCGGAGCCCTGTTCTTTTCGGTGGCCGGTTTGCGGGCTGCTCTGACTTTAGCCGAGAGCGAGGTGGAGGAAACATTGTTGCTGTAAGGGTTATCTCTGGGCGAATAGAAGTTTTGTACAGCTTATTAGAAGATTCTAGAATAGCTCAAAGTTGAAATGCTGTCATCAGCGGGACGTAGTGATTAATATCTAATTCTGTATATCATCTGTAATTCCCAGCCCTTGGAGGCCGAGGTACGAGGATGGCTGCAAGTGGGACTCTGTCAGACAAGGCAAAACAAGCAGTTTCTCAGAAGCTTTAGGGTACAAAAATGGGCCTTTCCCCCACGCTTTCACCTCCCAATTGGGAGCATTGCTGCACGATGCTGTGGTGTAGTAATGGGTTTATATAGATAACTTTATTTTCATTTACGTTTTTGGCTTTTTTTTTTTTTTTTGGTTTTTCGAGACAGGGTTTCTCTGTGGCTTTGGAGCCTGTCCTGGAACTAGCTTTGTAGACCAGGCTGGTCTCGAACTCAGAGATCCGCCTTCCTCTGCCTCCCGAGTGCTGGGATTAAAGGCATGCGCCACCATTGCCCGGCCGTTTTTTGGCTTTTTAAGACAGGGCTTCTCCATGTAGCTCTGGCTTTCCTGAAACTTGTTCTATAGACCATGCTGGCCTCTAACTCAGAAATACACCTGCCTCTGCCTCCTAAGTGCTGGGATTAACCACCGCCCACTGCGTGGACAGTTTATAAAGCGTCCTGTTTGTTTACTTTCTCCTTGGGAAAACTTGTAAACTGGGTTGCATTGTTTTAGAATCCAAACTAACAAATAGGAACCTCAAGGCAGTGAACGGCTTATTCTGGTGAAAGAACTAGGTTCTGAGCCAGAGCTACAAACCGTCTTGCTGAGCTCTTAATCCCGGCATGTAATCCTGGGTTCCTGTCCTGGAACTAGCTCTGTAGACCAGGCTGGCCTCGAATTCACAGAGATCCGCCTGCCTCTGCCTCCCGAGTGCTGGGATTAAAGGCGTGCGCCACCACCGCCTGGCTTGCAAGTCCGTTTTTTTTTTTTTTTTAAATGTACCTTGAAACCAAAATAAGATTGATAGATAGACATCTGTAGCCAAATATACAGAGGTTTAACCTGAAAGTGTTAGACACTTCCTGCTATAGCTCAGGAGTCCTCTCTTTGTGGAGGTACAGGTCAGGGTGGTGAGGCTCTTGCTAACACACATTTCATCAGGCCCTTCTTCAGTTGGTTTTCCGCCCCAGTGATTCGAAGCGGGCACTGCACTTGTTCAGGTTCCGCTGTGAAGGACTGCCTACAGTGATAACTAAATCTTACATTTGTTATATATACAGCATGTGTGCCTGCACACCAGAAGGGGGCATCGGATCTCCTTACAATACAGATGGTTGTGAGCCACCATGTGGTTGCTGGGAATTGAACTCAGGACCTATGGAAAAGCCGCTCTTAACCTGAGCCATCTCCAGTTTCATAAATCGAACAAGATTTATTCATACATGCTAATTACATAGTGTTTCCTACTTTTCATGTATGTGCATATAGTGTGCTGTAATCACGGTCATGCCTTACCTTTTTTTTTTTTTTAAAGTGACTCAGTGAGTTGCGTGCGGGTTGCATACAGGAACATGGGTGAGGAGAAGATATGTTCCCAGGCTGGTTATGGACTCCATGGCTCAAGTGGCCCTTCCCCCTTCTCTCCTAAGTAGCTGAGACTCCAGCCTCATGCAGTGCACCCAGTGTAGGGGCTGGTGTGTCCGTTTGGTGGTGTTTGTTTTAAACAGGGTCTTTCTCTGTTCTGTAGCTTTGGTTGTTATGGAACTCACTATGTAGACCTGGTTGGCTTGGAACTCACGGAGATCCGCCTGATTCGGCTCCGGAGTGCTGGGACTAAGATTTTGATATTCATGTGTTTAGATTGCTCAGACACAGGTCTGTTGCTGTGCAAACTAATTATCGATCTGTTTCCTCTAACAGGTGACAGAGTTAGTCCTTGATAATTGCTTGTGTGTCAATGGGGAGATCGAAGGCCTCAATGACACCTTTAAAGAACTGGAGTTTCTTAGTATGGCCAACGTGGAATTGAGTTCCTTGGCCCGGCTTCCCAGCTTGAATAAACTTCGAAAGGTGAGTTGAGTTGGGAGTAGTAGTTCGAGGACACCATGGTTTTTATGCTGGGGCGTATATCGAGGTCTCACTCAAGCAAAATGACTATTTTACCTGCAATAAGAAATCTTTAAGTTCCTAGGGATAAGAAAAGGGAAGGGGCCTGGAGACATGACCTGGGATCAGTTCCCAGCACACGATTCCCAGTCGCAGCTGTGACTCCAGTTCCAAGGCTTCAGCACCTTCACACACATGCAGGCAAACACCAGTGGAGCCACAGTGGAGCTGTTGCACTGGGTTCTGATCTCTGTGGGTAGACGGGAACTGTTGAGGGCAGAGAGATTGACGGGGCTCTTCAAACTGATGTGCGCTTAAAGGTCCTCAGGCTGCGTCCTTCTTTGTTTTCTCTCCGTGTGGTATATGTAGTTGGAACTCAGCGACAATATAATATCTGGAGGCTTGGAAGTCCTGGCAGAGAAATGTCCAAATCTTACCTACCTCAATCTGAGCGGAAACAAAATCAAAGATCTCAGTACAGTAGAAGCTCTGGTAAGTGAAATAATTGTCTCTGGACTTGATTTTGGGATTAATTTTAGATTGATTTATCTGAGGTTTGTTCATACTTTATTTTATTGATCTCTGTTTAGGTCTGGAGTTTTCTGAGATACGTCTTAACAGATAGTTATTCTTTTTTTTTTTTTTTCTTGGTTTTTTGAGAGGGTTTCCCTGTGTAACAGCCCTAGCCCAGGCTGACCTCGAATTCACAGTGATCCACCTGCCTTCTTTCTGAATTAAGATGGCTCTCAGCACTGAGGCACAGGAAGGGTGACCCTGAGTTGGAGCCTGGGCTGCAGGTGCAGAGTTAAACTCATTCTTAAAAACAAAGGCCTCAAGCTAGGCTGTGATGGCGCATGCCTTTAATCCTAGTACTTGGGAGGCAGAGGCAGACTGACCTCTCTGAGTTCAAGGCCAGCCTGGTCTACAGGGTGAGTTCCAGGACAGGTTCTAAAGCTACACAGAGAAACCCTGTCTCGAGATCCTCCTGGCTGTCCTTAGGTTTTTCAGAGTGTTGGGCTTGATGTGGTGGTGTCTGCCCGGATCCCAGTTATGGGAGGCTAAAGGGATTGAGAGCGCAGGGTCAGCTTAGGCTGCGGAGTGAGACCTGTCTTTAACAAAATAAGATGGTGTGAGGTTAAACTATTGGAAAGGAGCGTGGGTGCTGGTTAAGGTGACCATCACGTGGTTGTGCCACCTGTTGCTCTTTGGAGAGGCGTGGTCTTCGTAGACCCAGTTGGCCTTCAGCTCCTATCTGATCTCCTACCGGGCCCGGTTGAGGCATGGTGCTGCCTCTTTGTGCACAGATTCTGTCAGCAAAAATGCCTTATAGACACTGAAGAAACCAAGCTGTAAGAAAAGACTCTGAAGGTGTAGTGGTGACAGATCATTAGAGCTGGCTGTGCGTGGCAGAATGACCCTTACAGAGCATTAAAAATGCAAAAAACATTCGTGTGTGTTTTTCAGATCTTTCATTAAAATAGAAGAACATAGTATTTAAAATCTTGATTGTAACCTTTAACTTTACTTTTTCAGCAAAATCTTAAGAATTTGAAAAGTCTCGACTTGTTTAACTGTGAGATCACAAACCTGGAGGACTACCGAGAAAGCATTTTCGAGCTGCTGCAGCAGATCACCTACTTAGATGGATTCGACCAGGAGGACAACGAGGCCCCCGACTCGGAAGAGGAGGACGAGGAGGGTAATGGTTTCTTCTTTTTGAGACCTAACTCTTGCTGTTCTGGAACTCACTGTGTTGATCAGATTGGCCTCAAACTCAGAGATCCACCTGCATCTGCCTCTTAGTGCTGGGATTAAAGGTGTGCGCCACCTTGCTTGGCAACAAGCAAGCTTTGAAGTGGCAACAAAGTAAAACCAACTTCAGTGCCATATAGTGTATGAAAATCTATCTCAGTAATTACCTGGGTTAAGGAAGATGCTTATCTTTTGTGGTGCTGGGGGTGGAGTCACATGACAGGTACATGCTGGACCGGGTCCCCAGTCCTAGAAAAGGTACTTCTTAGGTGATTAGTAATGGTGCTATGAAACAGAAGGTTTGGGGGTTTTTGTTTGTTTTTTTTCCCTGATTTTTGTTTTGTTTTTCTGACAGGGTTTCTCTGAGTTGCCCTGGCTGTCCTGGAACTCACTGTATAGACCAGGCTGGCCTTGAACTCAGAGATCCACTTACCTCTGCCTCCCGAGTACTCACCATTGCCTGGCCAGAATGTGTTTCTTTAAAAGGAGTGGGAACATTTGAAATCCTCTCCCCATTGGCTGACGGTGTTGAGATGATTGGGCAGGGTGAGGAGGGCCTGCATGCCAGGCAGAAGCATTTGACCAGCCATCTGCTTATCTTTCAAAATGTCTCTTAAAGATGGAGATGAAGATGAGGATGATGAGGAGGAAGATGAAGCTGGTCCACCTGAAGGGTATGAAGAGGAGGAGGAAGAGGAGGAGGAAGATGAGGAGGAAGCAGGTTCAGAAGCGGGAGAGGGAGAAGAGGAGGTGGGCCTCTCATACTTAATGAAAGAAGAAATTCAGGTGATTGGAAACTTGGTGTTTGCCCTGACGATGGTTTGGGAATAGGCAGAGGGCTGAAGGGTGAGTCTTGAGTTGGTTCCTAACCTGTGGGTAAGGTCTGTCCGTCTTCTCTCTCAGCTTCCTGCTGGGTGCTCCATAGTGTATGACAGCCATGGACACTTGTTGGTTTTGATTTTGCTTTTTAGCTCAAGGACAGTTTTATTAAAAATTCCCAGGGTAGGAAAGCAGCTGCCAGAGGATAGTGGACGGGAGAAGAAAGCCAAACCAAACCACCATGGTGTAAAAACTGGTGCAGAGGTCAGACGCATGTTGGACAAGCAGTCACGTGGCAGGAAAGGGGTCTTAAGAGAAGGAGTATGGAAACCTGAATTATCAGAAAAAGCTTATTTGTTCTGACCAGCATCCAAAGAGAGAAAAGGAAAAGGCAAAGTTGCCTTCTCTGACTTGGGCCTCAGAAAGGTGTAGACTTAGCTGAATCTCATAGTGGTTCTATAAGGACTCCATTGCTTGTTGCTGTTTATATCCCAGGTGTCCCTCAAATTGGTTCTGCCCTCTGTGGCGTGGGGTGGTGGAAACATTTGTGAGTGTCTGAGTCTGTACCCTGGTTGACACGTGACAGACACTTCAGAGACCCAAGATGTCTTCCTGCAGAGCTTGGTGCCCTGCATCTTGCAGCTGCTTTTCTCCTCCTCATCCTTTTTTATTTTAAAGACCGGGTTTCTGTGTGTGTCCCTGGCTGTCCTCAGTGACATCTCAGTGCCCCTTTATATTATGCGTATATGGCCATTACTTGCCCTCGTGAGTGCTATAATGCCCCTGTTGCCACCAAAGCATGCTTCATTAGCTGTAGGGTTTTTTTTTTTTTATAATTTATTTAACTTTATTTTATGTGGATTGGTGTGAAGGTATCAGATCCCCAGAAACTGGAGTTATAGACAGTTGTTAGCTGTCATGTGGGTGCTGGGAATTGAACCCGGGTCCTCTGGAAGAACAACCAGTGCTCTTAGCCGCTGAGCTATCTCTCATTTAATGTAATGATGGTTATGTAGACAATATCTGGTGAATGGTTCTTATTTTTTTCTGATATATTTATTTATTTATCTATTTATTTATTTATTATACAATATTCTGTCTGTGTGTATGTCTGCCAGAAGAGGGCACCAGACCTCATTACAGATGGTTGTGAGCCACCATGTGGTTGCCGGGAATTGAACTCAGGACCTTTGGAAGAGCAGGCAATGCTCTTATCCTCTGAGCCATCTCTCCAGCCCTTCTGATACTATTTTTAAATTTGAAATGAATGTACAAAAACGAGGCCTTAAACTTGTTTGGGGCTTTGTAAGTCGGAAACTACACAGGCATGAAGAACAAAACTCGTTTAAGCATCTTAATTTATAGGGGAGCCTTTGTAGTTTCCTCCAGCAGACAGATAGCTTGGCTGTTTCTCATGTCTGTTTGGTAAAATAAGAGTCTCCTGGTTTCGTTTTATTTGCATTTGGCCTTGTATGTTCTCTGTCAGTAATAGATATACTCTTAAATATAAGTAGGAAGTACTTTAAAAGTTACATTTTGAGCCAGATGCCGGTGGCACATGGCTTTAATCCCAGTACTTTGGAGGCAGAGGCAGGTGGATCTCTGAGTTTTGAGGCCAGTTTGGTCTACAGAGCAAGTTCCAAGACAGCCAAAGATACAGAAAGACATTTCGAAAGACCAAAAGTACTTTTGTAGTGTATGTGGGGGGTATATTTTTTTATTCTGCACCCCAGGCTGCCACTGAAATTGTTGCAGTCCCCTTACCTCTGCTTCTGGGATCGCACAGACATTCACTCCTGCCTTAAAAGTTACTTTCAGCCAGCTGTGGGATGACTACACTGAATGTTGGGGAATGTTAACTCAAAATGATATAGCCAAACATAGATTAGAAATTTCGGAAATATACATAGCATTAAGTTAGTGCAAGGCCAGGAACATTTTCATTCTGGATGGGATTGTTTAGGGGTTCAGAAATGAAGTTTTGGCTTAGCTAGGTGAGGGGTAGCTCATGAGCATCACTCTGGGAGGGTGAGGCGGCAGGGCTGCAGGAGTTTAATGATATCGTAGGCTACCTCGTGTGCCCCGGGATAGCCTAGGCTACAGAGGAACCAACGAGCCCACAAACCAGAGTTCTTGTTTTTAGGAGCTCAGTGTGGGAGAGCACCAGAGGCCACTGGTGCTCAAAATAAATGAGAAGGGAAAGGTGTGTTTGATTATGCATTGTGTTTTTTCCTTTAAAACGTATTATTATTTATGTATGAGTATTTTGTGTGCATGTATGTCTGTGTGTGAATGGTACCCATAGAGGCCAGAGAGGGCATAGGATCCCTTGGAGCTGGAATCACAGAAAGTGCTAGGAGCAGCACCCAGGTCCTCTTTCCAGGTGGTTATTTTTGCCTTTTAAGATGGGGTCTTACTGTGTAACTTAGACTGTCTTTGAACTAATGGTCATCCTGCTAAGCTTCGCAAGGGCTGGGATTATAGGTCAACACCTGGCACATTCCGTTACACCTTTATTTACTTATGTTAGTTTGTTTTTGGGACAGGGTTTCTCTGCGTTGTCCTGGAACTCAGGGATGCTCCTGTCTCTGCCTGACCACGACTGGGTTTATGTGGTCCCGGGGATCTAACCAAAGGCTTCTTGCATGCTAGGCAAGCATCCTCCCAATCAAGTTACAATCCCAAGACCCCTGGTTAGCTGTTTTTTATTTGAGCCTTGTATTTCTTCCCATTTTAGCTGTTCTTCAGAGGAAAGGGATTAATATGTATCGAGGACTTTTTGTCCATTAGGAATATGGGGACTTTTTGTCCATTAGGAATACCGTTCATATGTGAGTCAGGAAGCAGTTCCCACTAACAAGGCAAAGGTCATCACAGCAGCGAGTGACTTTCTGCTAAATGCTGAAGCTTTATTGAGACATCAAAGGATGACTTTTAAAATGCCTTAAAACTTCAGACCGAAAAAACAAACAGCAACATCAACAAAACAGACCAAGTAAATTTTGTTTAAATAAAATTCAGATAGTGCTTTATGTCTGTGCTTTCCTGAAGCATTGATGTGGCTAGTCTGTCAAGTGTTTTTTTTTTTTTTTAAATTACAAATGGCTATTATTTTTGCATCTTTAAGATGTTTAAAATGCCTCTACCTACTTCCTTTCCTCTTTCCCCTTTCTGTCCCTATTTTTCCTTACCCTTCCTCTCCCTCCCCTCCCTTTTCTTTTTTGTCTCTTTTTCTCCTGCTCTTCCTTTCCCTTTCTGTCCCTTTTCTTTCCCTTTCTGTCCCTCTCCTCCATACTTCCTTCCCCTTTTCATTTCCTTTAGTTTAAGAGAACAGAGTCCCTGGTTTTTCTTAAGGTCCACTTCGTGGAGTGTCCTGCCCCACTGTCCCTTTGGTCCTGTAGGGGACTGGGTCCCTGGAGGTGATGCTGTGCACTGTTACTCGGGGAATGAACCGAGGAGAAGACGTGCAGGCTCATTCTCTGTTGTGTTGCAAGGCGTAAATCAGTCTAGGATGCAGGACCCTGTCTCACTGCCTTTCTGTCTTCATTTTTGTTTGTTTGACTTTTTAAGACAGGGTTTCTCTGTGTAACAGCCCTGACTGTCCTGGAACTCTCCCTGTAGACCAAGCTGGCCTCAGACTCAGAGTTCCTTCTGCTTCTGCTGGAGTTAAATGCATGTGCCTTGACTATTGATTGATTGATTGATTATTTATTTATTTATTTATTTATTTATTTATTATGTATACAATATTCTGTGTGTATGCCTGCAGGCCAGAAGAGGGCACCAGACCTCATTACAGATGGTTGTGAGCCACCATGTGGTTGCTGGGAATTGAACTCAGGACCTTTGGAAGAGCAGGCAATGCTCTTAACCTCTGAGCCATCTCTCCAGCCCCTATTGATTTGTTTTTTAAAGATTTTTTTTTCTTTTATGCATTATGTACACTGTTCTGCCCGCATGTCTGCCTGCAGGCCAGAAGAGGGCGCCAGATCTCATTACAGATGGCTGTGAGCCACCATGTGGTTGCTGGGAATTGAACTCAGGACCTTTGGAAGAGCAGCCAGTGCTCTTAACTTTAAGCCATCTCTTCAGCCCCCCCCCCCTTTTTTAAGTGTGTGTGTGTGTTTTGTATGCACGTTTCTGTTTTTGTGAGTGTTCACAGGCGTGTGGGCAATGACATAAATGCAGAGGTCACAGGTCAACTTTTGTTATCCATCCTCAGCTTCAGTCTGAGATAGTCTCTGCTTACTGTGTTTGCCATGCTTGCTGACCCACACACTGGGGGGTTCTCTCTGCCATCTCTCATCTCTCCAGTAGGAAAACCAGGACTGCAGGTGGACACTACTGTAGCCAGCTTTATGTGGGTCTGGGAATCTAATCTCTGTTCTAGGTCGGGTTTGTTTGTTTGTTTTTTGAGGTAGGGTTTCTCTCTGTAACACTGGGTGACCTAGAATTCATTAGGTAGACTGGACTGTCCTTGAACTCACCTCTAAGGTGTCCTTGAACTCTAAGGTGACCCTCTCCTGACTAGCTGGGATTAAAGACCTGCCTCTTTGCCCAGCCTTCAAGCACTGTTAACTACTAAACATTCACTGCTTACATTTGGGGCTGAACTTGGAACTTAGTAAGACTGGCTGGCTAGCAGGCCCAGGATCTGACTGCTTATGTTCCCCTGCGCCACGAGTGTAGGCATTCACCATTATGTCACCTTTTATGTGGGTGGCACTTGGCAATCTGAGCTCACTCAGGTCTTCATAGTGTGCGGGCATCTCCCCAGCCCGTCCCTCAAATGGGTTTGAGATAGTCTAGCTCTGTAGCCCAGGCTGGCCTTGAACTTACAGTCATCCCACCTATAGAGCTGCACGTGTGCACTACCACACATGGCTCTGTTGTATATAATAAATTAGATTGTATATAATATATATACCTGAAGAGCAGTAAGCTTGTGTAGTCGTAAGATGGAGAGAGGCTTGGCTGGTTGTTTTTTAGATACTTAGTACCAAATCTGTCTGATGCTTAAATATTTGTAGCATAGCTAAGATCACAACAGTAAGTGCAAAAGGCTCTGAGCAGTCAAAATATAAGTAATGAAAGTCTTCCGAGCCTGTTTGTGTCAGAGAGTATTCATTTCGTGTTGGAATTAGACGTTGTGTCTTGCGTGTTCACGTCTGATGCTCTGTTCTGAGTCTGTGGCAGCATAAAATTACAAGAGTAACTGACGGTAGAAGAGGGTGTAAAACTAGAAGAAGAGACCCAGTTGGAGGTTGGAATTATTTTAAAAAGTAGAGAATGGGCCAGTGATGGCTTCATTGGTAAAGGCACTTGCTGTGCAGGCCTGGGGCCCGAGTTCAATCCCTGGATCCTACGGAGAAGTGGAAGGAGAGGAATGACTCCCGAGTTGTCTGCTCACTTCCACACGTGTTCCGTGGCACGTCCCCACGCGGCATGTACAACAGTAGTATGTACACACAACAATAATACATGTTTTAGAAAGGAGAAAACCATCTTACATATATTAAGAAGTCTGAGGAAGTTAGCATATATCAATAATTAGAATGTTCATGGTCAAACAGTCTTTTATTTAAAAAAAATTGGGCTGGAGAGATGGCTCCGTGGTTAAAAGCACTGGCTGTTCTTCCAGAGGACCTGAGTTCAGTTCCCAAGAACCATATGGTGGCTCATAACTGTCTGTAACTCCAGTTACAGATCCAGGGGATCTGACACCTTCACACCAATGCACATAAAATAAAGTTAAATAAAATTTTGAAAAGATCAAGGGGATGGGCAGATGACTCAGTTGGTAATATATGCAAATATATTATT